AAATCATGCCCACACACACTGGAAGAGTTTTATATTAAGACTGCTGAGGGCAACTCTGGTACTCCTTCCATATGAAACATCTTTTTGGTTCTGCCTTAAGTGCACAGAAGTCGATATAAATTTGATCCTGCAGCACTTATGTTAGAAAAAAAATCTAGCACCATCCTGGTAATATGGTAGATGGGAATAAGAGATAAGAGTAAAAACATAGCTGGCAACAGCCCTAAACCTTCCCCAAAGGTGTTATTCTTATCAAATTTGCTAGGAAATTTATTAAGGCAAGTTTGCTGCAATTGGACAACTAACCCTAAAGGCAGAACAGCTCAGTGTCCAGGGCCTATCCAGAGATTTGTGATAGAGTCTAGATTGCATTCACTGTGCACTCAATCTGAGAGTTCCTCTTTGGTGGCCAGCTTCTGGTAATTCTTTAGCACAGGAACATGATTTGAAAAACAAGAAAAGGTTAGCAGGTTTTCACCAGGCTTGACTAGCCCCAGGTTAAATTATTCTAAATTCTGTGGCAGTGCCACGCAGTACTGTTTCTGGGGTGGGTTGGCTTTTAATCCCTCCTTTGTATTAGATATCTCCCTTTTGTCCCAAACCTTGAGAAGATATCTTCTTTCGGAGCGATCCCTAGAACTGCCCACTTGGCTACCTCATTAGCTAAATCATTCCTTTTAATTTCCTCTGTCATGGGTTCCCATTCAGTCTGGTGTGCCTGTATTTTTACCACTGCTGTCTCAGCAGATAGCAGGAATGTGTCTAGGAGGTCAGCAGCTAAGGGCTCCTTCTTGATCTGGGTGCCAGAGCAGGTAAGGAAACTCCTTTGTTTCCACTGTTGTTAGGTGCTGTTGAGATGGTTTTGACGCATAGCGGCCTCATGTACAACAGAACGGAAACGCTGCTCAGTCCTGCACCATCCTCTCTATTGCTATGGTTGAGCCTGGTGTTGCAACCACTGTGTCAATCCATTTCATTGAAGGTCTTCCTCTTTTTCACAGACCATCTACTTTACCTAGCATGATGTCTTTCTCCAGTGACTGGCTCCTCCTGATAACATGTCCAAAGTACGAGAGGCAAAGTCTCCTATCCTTGCTTCCAAGGAGCATTCCAGCTGTACTTCCTCCAAGACAGATCTGTTCATTCTTCCAGAAGACCATGGTACATTCGATATTTTTTGCCAACACCACAATTCAAATGTACTAGTTCTTCTTCAATCTTCCTTATTCATTCGTTGTCCAGCTTTCCAATGCATATGAGGTTATTGAAAGGACCCTTACTTGGATCAGGTGCACCTTAGTCTTCAGAGTGACATTTTTCCTCTTTAACACTTCAAATAGGTCTTTTATAGCAGATTTGTCCAATGTGATATGTCATTTGATTTCCTGACTGCTGCTTCCATAAGTGTTGACTGTAGATCCAAGTAAAATGAAATCTCTGACAACTTCAATCCTTTCTCCATTTATCATGATGTTGCTTATTGGTTTAGTTGTGAGGATATTTGGTTTCTTTATGTTGAGATGTAATCCATATTGCAGACTATAATCTTCAATCTTCATCAGTCAGTGCTTCTAGTCATCCTCACTCTCAGCAAATGAGGTTGTGTCATCTGTATATCAGAGGTTGTTGATGAGTCTTCCTTCAATCCTGATGCTTCCATTGTTTGTTTCCACAGCATTGCAAAATTATGTACGACCCCAAATTGATACCTCCAATCAACATGTGTCGTTACTGATTTTCCCAACACCAACCTGCAAGTCCTTGTGAGTGCAATCAATTTGGGTTGCTGTGCTAAAATGACATCATGGAGGACACCACTTTCCTAAACTTCAGTGGAAGTGGTCACAGCATATCTACCCTGAAAACAAGAGCTGGGAGGATCTGGTTTCAAATAGGAACCATCAACAAAGAGAACCACTGCAAAAAGGGTGTGTGTGGGGGATGCTTCATGTGACCTCTTCTAACTTCACAAGGGGGAGAGAAAATCACCATCCACATCAGCAGCCCAAGGCTGAAGGCTGAGGTGGAGGTCAGACATGCCTCCATCTTCCAATCTTTTGAAGAAAGATCAAGAAAAGAAGAGCCACTGCCATCAAGAAAGAAGAGCCAGGAGTGGAGCACATCCTTTGGATCTGAGATCTCTGCATTCAACCTCCTTAACCCAGAAGACAGAGAGAGATCTGTGACACTTCGATGAGAGGATGAGAGACAGGGAGCAGCAGCAGCAGAGAAACGGCAGCAGCAGAAGCAGGAGACCCAGCAGCAGACTCAGCAGTAGACCCGGCAAGCCACAGTGGGCTGCTGGCCCCAGGGAGTGAGAAACCTGAGTGCCTTCAGGCAGGAGGCTTGCTGGCAGAGTGGGATGTCTCTGAGCTAAAAGAGTTCGGCAACACTTGCTTGAGCAGGGCAGATGCCACGGGACCACATGGCTTAGAAGCCAAGGGCAGAAAGAGGTATATGCCTGCAGTCATTCCTGAGAAGAGACTGTCCTGATTGAAGAACTATCTCCTGAATCATTTCTGATCCTGAATTGTCACATAATACTTCCCTAATAAACCCCTTAACTGTAAGTAGGGTCTGTGAGTTGTGTGTGGTCACTGCAGCTAATAATTAACCTAAAAGAGAAGTAGACCATGCCAGAGGAGGGATGGTTGGTATCAGAATGGTTAAAAAGACTGGAAGATGGAGGCATGTCTGACCTCCACCTCATAAGAATCAGCCTTGGGCTTTTGATCTTGATCGTTTTCCTTCCTTGTGAAGTTAGGAGTCAGATGCCACTCCTGTACCGTTATTACAGTAGCTCAATACATTTTCATTTCATCGAGGTTGGGAGCGGGATGGGAAAGAACTCCATATCCTTCTCCCATATGAGAACCAGGACTTAACTGGCCTCTGGGACTTTTAAGCCAGTCAATAACTCTTAGTCAGATTGGTAATTTTGCCATTCTGAGAAAACACAAATTTGTTTTTATCATGATGCCCCTGGAGAAGGACATCATGCTTGCTAAAGTGGAGTAAGCAAGAAGAGGAAGACTCGATGAGATGGGTTGACACAGTGGCTGCAACAATGGACCCAAACATAGCAATGATTGGGAGAACGGCACAAGACCAGGCAGAGTTTTGTTCTGTTGGACGTAGGGTCACCATGAGTTGGAACCAACTTGACAGAACCTAAAAACAGTAACAGTACTTGGTGAACTCTAAGAGGCCATCTGGTCCTTTGCATAGCCCATGATTCCTGCAGAAGAGTACAGCGGATCAGAGGTTCCACTCTGCAGCTCTATCTAGATTCAAATACCTTTAGGCAAGTTATTTTCTCTCTCTCAGCATCAGTTTGGTCATTATAAAATGGCACTAACTAAATTACTGGGAGCTCTGGTAGCATAGTGCTTAAGGCATTTGACTGCTAACCAGAAGGTTGGCAGTTAAAATCTACCTGTCACTCCCGGGAAGGAAGGTTGGGCCATCTACTTTCATAGTGATACTGCCCAGGAAACCCAAAGAGGGATTGCTATGAGTCGGGTCCAACTCGATGGCACATAACAACAACAACAATTAAATGATTAAAATGGAAGGATTAAGTTTGTTGTGAAAATTAAGTCAAATGTTTAGTGCGGGGTCTGTCATATTGTAAATTCAACTCTTCCCTTCCTACCTCCCTGTTTGTACCAAGTTGCCTTCACCCCCCAACCCCACATATGCTGGTCTTTTCCCTCTCATCATTTCCCTCCCACCTTCCCTTCTGGATAGCTGTTCATTTCCCAGGTCTCAGTTTAAATGTCACATCCTTGGGAAAATGGCCTGACCACCTCTACACACCCCATCTTCTTAAAACAGCCTGCATTTCTTCTTCACAACCTTCTCACAGTTTGCAATGTTCTGTTTATCTTAGGGAGGAGTCCGATCTTTTGCCGATAAACTGCGAGATACGAGGGACCTTCTTCTCTTTAATTGTGCTAAAGACATATATGGGGGAGCTCTGGTAGCATAGTGCCTAAGGCACTTGACTGCTAACCAGAAGGCTGGCGGTTCAAACCCACCAGCCACTCCTCAGAAGGAAGGATGGGCAATCCTACTGCCGTAGTGATACTGCCTCGGAAACCCAAGGAGGGGTCGCTATGAGTCCGGGCCGACTCGTCGGCAGATAACAACAACAACAAAGACATATATGGGCCACTTCAATGTTTTTCACACGGACGATTCTGTAACACTGTGCTCATCATGCTCTGCAACCACCACTATTATCCGTGTCCAGATTTCTCCATCACCCTTAGCAGAAACTATTGTTTCCTAAGCAAAGAGGGATCTTTTCTTGCTCTCTGCTGAAATCTTAAGTACCAACATGGTAGGTAGGATCATAGAAGGCATTCATTAAATATTTATGAAAAAACAGTCCAGTCTCTCTTTCTTGTAAAGATAAATTTGGGTCCAGAGAGGTGAAGCGGCAACAGATAAGGGCACTACTCCAGATTCAGGTCTCCATCCACAGCGCCTGCCAAGAATTTTCCTGTCTCCTAATATACTCTGGGTGCCAAAGAAAAGTTACAGAAAAAGAAGGAGCAAAGCATTATAAACTGGGGAAAGGAATTTGGGTTGGTTCCTCTCTGGAGTTTACGTGGGCACATTATAAAGTAAGGGATTACGCCAATAACAACGTGGCTGGAGGGCTACATGGACCGAACCAGGCAAAGAATAAACCACGAGAATGTCTTTGACTGGTCAGAGGTGGGGGGGGGAGTAGCGAGAAGAGAACAAAGACTGACCCTACGCAGGCGCAGTACACGCGCTCTGCTCTTTCCTTTTCCGCCTGTTCCGTCGCTCAGGAGTCACAAGACAACAAGGGCCGTCAGCTGGCGCAGCGCGTCAGCGGTCACGTGCTAGAGGGGGCGTGGCGGTGTCTCAGAGCGCAGCCGCAGTTCTAGCGCCGCTGGGTCAGCTGACCTGCGGAGGCCTGGGAGTTGATTTAGGCGGGTCACTTTGGCCTCGGAGTCACCGCCGCCATGGCCAGTCAGTCGCAAGGTATCCAGCAGCTGCTGCAAGCGGAGAAGCGCGCCGCCGAGAAGGTGTCCGAGGCCCGCAAACGTAAGTTACCGGGCGGGGCGGCCGGGCGTGGCGATCGTCTAAGGGACGTGCCAGCCCGCGGGTAATGGTGGGTGGATGCGGCCCGAAGGCCTGCGGAGTGGTTGTAGTCTCAGAATCTTGTTTGTTTCGAAGTGCGCTATTTCTGAGTATCTGGAAGTCTGCGGGTCTCCTGGAAGCCGAGATATGGATTGGATAGCGGACGCGGAGACAATAATGGGTTACTAGCGTCCTTATTGTAGTTGTATGTGCCGTCAAGTCGGACCCGACTCATAGCGACCCCTCCTTGGGTTTCCGAGGCAGTATCACTACGGAAGTAGATTGCTCCATCTTCCTTTCGAGGAGCGGCTAGTGGGTTTGAACCGCCAGCCTTCTGGTTAGCGGTCAAGTGCCTTAGCCACTATGCTACGAGAGCTATGAGTAGGGGGCCGACTCGACGGCTCATAACAACAACAACAACAACAACAAAGCGTCCTTCTTGACGTCGGGGAGGCCAGTGAAATGGGCTGCCCAAAACAGAACGTGGTATCATCTCGCTCGCATCAAAACAGAACTTACCATTCCCCCTCCAACTTGTTCGTTTGGGCTTATCGGAATCAGTGAAGGGAGCCACCCTCCACACAGCTGCTCAGTCTAAAAGCTTGAGCCCTCTTTTCTCCTCTCGTTGGTCTTGCTTAGCTCGCTTTTTCCCCATGTTTCCCTCCAGCATTTTGGTGCAAGACATCAACTTCTGTAACGCTCCTAGAGCAGCCCAGGTCGTTCATGCTTTATTATTATTATTATTTAATGCGCCTAATTCGTGCCAAACCCAGTGTTTGGTGCATCTGCGATCTCTGCTAACCTGGTATTTGAAGTTCCAGTGAAGGAAGCAAATACTGAATAGGTTAATTACAAGTAAAATGAGGGCCAGAGTTGAGAAATGCACGTTTCTGAAGAATTTGAACAGGTGAATCTAGACTGGTGAGTAGGAGGCTTCCTACTTGCAACCCACTCTCAGTAAGGTCAGTCATCCTTTTCAAATGCAAATATGACCTCCCCACCCCTTCACTGTCAGCTGACTTTTGGTGTCTCTTGACTGAAGTGCCAGTTCCTTCATGGGAGGAGGAGGCTCCTTTGGGTCAGGCTTCTACTTTCTTTCCTGTTCTCACTCACAGGTACTTCCTTCAAGCTCTACAGAACCATTGCATTTCTTTAAAGGCAGCTTAGTTTATTTCACCAGCAAACCCTCACACACCACACCGTTCCCTGTGATTGGAAGGGCCTTTTCTCTGTTTGTTCCCCTTAGTTCTCTAACCGTGGTTTCGCTGCAGGTCTCAAAATGTAGGCAGCAGCTTACTGTAGGCAAGGAGTCCTTCCCAAGTCTTACTTCAGCCATCACAGTGCAGTAACCTGTTTCTTTACATGACTGACTCACTAAGCCGCTGGAGAACTGAGACTGTGTCTAATTAAGCCTTATATGTCCAGTTCACATCTGGTAGGATAGACATCTCTACCCCTGTCTTACGTGGAGGGAAAAGGAGACTCAGAAGTGACTTGACAATAACGTGGGAAGCATAGTTGGGACTTGGAAGGCCACCTTTCCCATGCAAGGGTGAAATACTAGAAAATAGTAATTTAGTAATTGCATGGTGGTGTTTCTCCAGGTATAAAACTTCTACTCCACCTCACACCCAAGTAGATTGCAAGCATGGCTGTTTGTACTTCCTCACTTAAAGGAATATATGCTTCTCTGTATTTAATAGGAAAAAGGTTCTTTAGGCTGTTCTGGGAGCTGGGGATGGGAAGTAGCCTTTTCTTGCTTTGGTGACTGAAAAGTTACGTTATTTCATCCTTGATGGCCTTGATGGAGTAAGTCTGATCACACCCTTGATACAGTATTTGCAGAATGACTTCTCAAGAGTTTGCCCTAAGATGGTTCACCAGTGACAGAAGTTGTTATCTGTGGCAAGTGATGTGAGAATATTTGGGAGGAAGTGCAGAAACTAGTGCTTGGGGTATGGTAAGAATCTTTTGGAGTGCCTTGTGTGTGGGTAGGGTCATGTTTTATACATTTCTGTGTCCCATCAAGCCATGAGCAAGGTCCTGTAGATCTCAAGTAGAGTGAGTTGATGGCTAATACACATCTTGGAATTTGCAACAATTGGGAACAAAAGTATTCAGTGGAGCTACAAACTGCAAAAATTGGAAATTATTGCCTTTGTTGATCTGTGATTATGGCTGACTTGAACACCTAGTTGAGAAATAGGAAGAGGCACATGGTAAAATGGTCCAACCCAAATTTTTTCATGAAATTACTGCTTTGGACCTTAAAAAATCTGTGTT